CTTACTCCACCTGGCCGTACTCCACCAGCTCCTATTCCACCAGGTCCTATTCGTGTAGTACCTAAATGCTGGGCCCCATAACCGCCTACAAGCCAAAACTGGGCCAGCCGCTTAGGTCACCAGCAATGAGTTTTCTGCGAGCCAGATCAGCCAGAGGAAAACACGTCACATAGCCATAGTGCTGTAACTAACGCTCCCTTACAGTACAGGATAGATGTCTCATTTGTGCCTCATTTGGGACTCCCCGAGCAACTGCTCATTTGACACAAACTCAAATGAGATTCTGTGTCTCTTCTCGGAAAGGACACGGTACCAAAGGAGTCCAGTCTTCATCTCAGGTCATTGGATAGCATCCATGCCCTGCAGCTATACAGCAAGACAGGGAGCACCAGGACTCTGATGGCTTATACCTTCTCCCTCTTAAAAAGATATTGGGAGCGCCACACACCCCTTTCCAGTGACCTCATGACCCCCCGTGCTCTCCCAATCCATCTACTGACTTCATAGGAAAAGTCACCAGAGACATGAATGTCACTGCTGAGGTAAGTGAACATCTTGACAAGGTTGACACTCTCTCCGCAGACAGACACACTGCTGATGGCTATGCCCCAGAGATCATAAAAGGCCTGGATCTTGGTTTTGATCCAGGACACTCACAAACCCAGACACTCAGATTCTTCATTCAGTCTCTCGAGAGCCCCAATCAGAGCCTTCATTGACTCTGCAAAGATCATCATTGACAAAATCAAGATCAGTAAATCTTTCCTCATCAACAGTTGCCCCACAGCTGCTGGACCCCACCACCCTGCCCAACATCCAGTCCATACAAACACTGAACAATACAGAAACAAGAACACACCCCTGACAAACCCCAAAATCCACACAGAGGTTCTGCCTCCATTCTGTACAGCACTCACAGTACCAGTGTATAGACTAACCATGATGTCCAGCAACTTTGGGAGATCCTATGAAGTCTCAGGATGTTCCACAGGGCAGCTTGATCAACTAAGTCAAATGCTTTATGAAAATCAACAAAGGCTGCAGAGATGATGATATTTGCATTTGCGCTCAGTGAGAACCCTCTATAACATGATGCTATTGATGGTAGACTTCTTACAAGTAGATCCAGACTGCTCCAGTCACTGGTGGCAAGCAAGTGACTGCAGATCCTGTTCAGGATGAACCCAACAAGGACCTTCCCGGGCTCTGAGAGCAGTGTTATTCCCCAGCAGTTAGGGACAAGAAGTCACATTTCCCAGTCAGTTGGGATGATGCCTGTCTCCTAAATGGAAGCAAAGATTGCATGCAAGGTCAGACGGACAGCCTTACCACCAGCCTGGAGAAGTTCACCTCAAATATCATAGATCACTTAGGTTTTCCCGGCCTCCAGCTGGCTCACCACCTGTTCAATCTCAGTGAGATTGGGTGGTTCACAGCTAATCGGAGGATGGGCCCCAGGAACCGTGGACCCAAAGGTATCCAATGTCTTAGCCAGAAGATCAGCCTTAAACAGCTCCTCAAAGTAGCCACTCCAGCGGGTCACACCTGCAGTGTCATCTGTAAGGACTGGTCCATCACCTGCCCTGACTTCTACTCTCCGAGGAACAGATTCAGATGTGTGGAATGCTTCGATTCCAGGATGTGGGTCACTTACCCACAGATGGTGTGTCACTTGATCACATATTTCTCTAATA